CTCCCAAGTTAGCTGGGACTTACAGGGCGCTCGCCACCTTGCCCGGCTAGGTTTTTTGTTATTTTTTAGTAGAGACGGGATCTCCTGACCTCGTGATCCGCCCGCCTCGGCCTCCCAAAGTGCTGGGATTACAGGCTTGAGCCACCGCGCCCGGCCACACATTTTTTTTTACACTCAAGAGGAAAGTATTACACAGCAGGTGTGCAACAGACTGAGAATCCAGGGTATTATCTTAGAATGTTGCCTACCCACCATAATAAACTTTTAAAATCGTCTTTCACCAGGCACGGTGGCTCATGCTTCTAATACCAGCCCTGTAGGAGGCTGAGGCAGGCAGATCATGAGGTCAGGTGTTTGGGACCAACCTGGCCAACATGATGAAACCCTGTCTCTACTAAAAACACAATCCGACATGGTGGTGCACGCCTGTAATCCCAGCTACTGAGGAGGCTGAGGCAGGAGAATTGCTTGAACCCAGGAGGTGGTTGCCCAGATCACACCTCTGCACTCCAGCCTGGGCGACAGAGCGAGACTCCATCTTGGGGGGAAAAAAAAAAGTCTTTCTGCTGCTTTTGTTATCTACATAAACAAAGATATCAACTCGATATAATAATTAACTACTTTTCAGTTTTATTCATTACAAATACACCTTTTTTCTGGCTTATTTTTTATGCACTGTTTATACATTCACACACACATAGAACAATAAAAATATATCCAAGTATTCAATTTTGATTGAATGCTCATTCAAGTAAGTGTTAAAAATGATTTTTTTAAAAAAATTTTTCTGTTTGAAGAGAGCTTTTATTATTGTACTTAAGACAGTTGTTTCTGGAGACAAAGCTGCCTGTACTTTAATAGACAGATTCTGGGGAGAATCCGAATGACAAGCCAGAACATTTTATATTAATAAATTCAATACAAAGCAGAGTATAGATTTGCTTTCAGCATTTTTAAAGTGTTTAGTTTTGTTAATCACCTAATTAACATAATTTGTCTTGCTGCAATAATTGCTCTTTTCTTCTGAAAATATATACAAACCTATACTCACACACACACACTCACTTCATAATTTTCTTACACCTAAGGTTTCTCTTCAGAGTAGTATGTGTATATTTAACTCTATGTAAATTAAAACTAAAAGTGTCTGTATGCTTGCAGGCAGAGACCACATGTTCAAGGAACACTATATTACAAATATTTATTAATAATTTTTCAGGACTCAGAAATGTATACTTTTTATTTTTTTTCTTTCTTTTTTTTTAAGATAGAGTCTCACTCTGTCAGCCAGGCTGAAGTGCAGTGGCATGATCTCAGCTCAGTGCAACCTCCACCTCCCAGGTTCAAACAATTCTCCTGCCTCAGCATCCTGGCATGTGCCACCATGCCTGGCTAATTTTTGTATTTTTAGTAGAGACAAGATTTCACCACGTTGGCCAGGCTGGTCTTGAATTCCTACCCTCAAGCATTCCACCTGCCTCGGCCTCCCAAAGCACTGGAATTACAGATGTGAGCCACTGCACCTGGCTGTATTTTATTTATACTTTTGTATAATTATTATGATCATAAAAATAATCCTGTAGTCAATAACAATTGTACATTTTAAAATGAAAAAGCATATAATTACACTATTGGTAATACAGAAGATAAATGCTAGAGGTGATGGACACCTTATTTACCATAATGTAATTATTACATATTGTAGACCTGAGTCAAAAGATGCCATATAAGGCATAAATATATACACATACTACATATCCACGAATACAAATAAAAAATTTCAATAAGAAAAAAGAGTAAACATTTAATCTATGGGAACAATACACTTTAATTCATTTGCAGTTTAAAGCCACTAACAAGGTGACTAATAGAGATGTTATTTTACTATGTGCCAAATAGTATATTATATTCCTACCATCTTGTACCTACACCCTTGAGTAAGGTGGGATAAAGTTAGTGGCACAATAATGGTTCATCCAATGCACAATAGTCTTAATATGGTAAAAATAAAATTAAGTTCACAACCTAACAATTTTTTTTTTTTGACAGTTTTGTTCTTGTTGTCCAGACTGGAGTGCAATGGCACAATCTCGGCTCACTGCAACCTCTGCCTCCCGGGTTCAAGCGTTTCTCCTGCCTCAGCCTCCTGAGTAGTTGGGATGACAGGAATGCACCACCATGCCTGGCTATTTTTTTTGTATTTTTAGTAGAGACTGGGTTTCTCCAGTAGTTCAAGACCAGTCTGTTGGTCAGGCTGGTCTTGAACTACTGACCTCAGGTGATCCACCCGCCTCGGCCTCCCAAAGTGCTGAAATTACAGGTGTGAGCCATCAAGCCCAGCCCTAACAGTTTTAAAATGTACTGCATTTTATTACATAAAAGTACAAGTGGTAAAGTATTATACTCATTTAATAAAGTTCTAAACATAATTCTTTGTCACTATAATAAAGTTATTGCTCTGAACATTTACCTTATGCATTACTTAATAGAATTTTACTACAATGAGCCTCTCCACTTGTGTTTTCGTTATGGATCTTACATTTTAATGTTATTATTATTTTATAGAAAAGGTCATAATGTCCAAATAATTTTTTAAAATCTCTGGTATCTCTGATGCAGAAGCAATTGATCACATGCTTTCTCACATGTGAACAGAAATAAAATAACAGCATAATTTGAAATCTGTATTACATCATTATTCAGCTTTCAAAAAATTTTATTCAAGGAAACAAATACACTTTCAACGGAATTACAATGCTTCCAAAAATCTACTCCTTTTAAAGTTACATAGAAATCATTTACCTAAAAACTGTTGCTGTGGATTAGTTTTTATACCCAATGCTCTGATTTAGTATAATGTCTGAAATATCAGGGCCTTAGTTATTCTACTGTAACTTCTCTGATATTTATATACAATCTATTTTGAATTAAATATTTTTTCATATTTACTGCATCTGCAAAATTATATTTTAGTATAAACTCTCTGCTGTTTTCTAAGCTGTAGTTTCTAAAAAAAAAAAAAAAAAAAGTATTTCTAAACTTAATATATTTGTAGGACTCATCTCCAATATAAATTCCCTGATGTTGAACAAAGCTTGAGAAACTGCTTTAGGGTTTCCTTCAGTACAAAATGTGTGCAATAAAATCTGTGATAAAAGTAAATGTACTATATAACCCTCTTTATATTTGTAATGCTTGTCTTCACAAAAAATACTAATTTTAAAGACTTATACTTTCTGAAAGTTTTTTTGACAGTAACTGCAATTTTAATGCTTTTATTAAAAGGAATCTTTTTATGTTGAGTTAGATGTGAGTAGGAATTAATGGGTTTTCCATATTCCTTCTATTTGTACAGTTTTTCTCAAGGATACTAGCTTTTCTGTGAAATAAGGTTTAAGAACTGATTAAAAGTTTTGCCACATTCTTCACACTTGTAGTTTTGCCAGTATGAATTATCTTACCTACAATCAAGTGTGGCAACTATATAAAGGCTTTGACACATTTTATATATTTCTAGAGTTTCACACTAGTATAATCATTGTTACGTATAGAGAAGTTGGAGGTGTTGGTAAAAGCACTGTCATATTTTTTAGCTGTGTAGATTTCCTCTTCAGTATGAATTATCACCATGTCTCTTAAGAATTGAGAACTTGTGGCTGGGCATCGTGACTCACGCCGGTAATCCCAGTACTTCAGGAGGCCAAGGCAGGTGCATCTCCTGAGGACAGGAGTTCGAGACCAGCCTGGCAAACATGGCGAAATCACATCTCTACTAAAAATACAAAAGTGAGCTGGGCATGTTGGAGGACACCTGTAATCCCAGTTACTCAGGAAGCTGAGGCAGGAGAATGGCTTAAATCCAGGAGGCAGAGGTTGCAGTGAGCCGAGATCATGGCATTGTACTCCAGCATGGGTGATGAGCATGAAACTTCATCTCAAAAAAAAAAAAAAATTGAAAACTTGTTATAGGCTTTGCCACATTCCTCAAACTTGTAGGATTTTTGTCCAGTATGAATTATGTGTAAGAAGGGTTCAGAACTTCCTAAAAGCTTTGTCACATTCTTTGTATTTGTAGGGTTTAATATAAATTCTCATATTTAGTAAAAGTTGATAGCTGGCTAAAGGCTTTCCCACATTCATCAAACTCACAGGGTTTCTCTCCAGTATGAATTATCATGTCTAGGAAGGGCAGAGGTGTCCTTAAAGGCTTTGTCGCATTTTCTTATTTATTGGGTTTCTCTTCCGCATGAATTATCTCATGTCTACTAAGGTGTGAGGATGAAATAAAGGCTTTGCCACATTTATCACGCTTTACAGTTTCCCTCCAATATGAATTTTCTTATGTGTAAAAAGGATAGTGGGTTAAAAGCTTTGCCACATTCTTCACATTTATAGTTTCTCTCCAGTATGAATTACCTTATGTGTAGTAAGGGTAGAGGAGCACTTAAAGCCTTTGCCACATTCTTCACATTTGTAGGGTTTCTCTCCAGTATGAATTCTCTTATGTCTAGTAAGGATAAAGGAGCGCTTAAAAGCCTTACCACATCGTTCACATTTGTAGGGTTTCTCTCCAGTATGAATTCTCTTATGTGCAGTAAGGTGTGAGGACGAGTTGAAGGCTTTGCCACATTCTTCACATTTATAGGGTTTCTCTCCAGTATGAATTCTCCTATGTGTAGTAAGGACAGAGAAGCACTTAAAGGCCTTGCCACATTCTTCACATTTGAAGGGTTGCTCTCCAGTATGAATTATCTTATGTGTAGTAAGGCAAGAGGAGTACTTAAAGGCTTCGCCACATTCTTCACATTTGTACGGTTTTTCTCCAGTATGAATTCTCTTATGTGTAGTAAGGTGTGAGGACCAGTTGAAGGCTTTGCCACATTCTTCACATTTGTAGGGTTTCTCTCCAGTATGAATTATCTTATGTGTAGTAAGGGATGAGAAGTACTTAAAGGCTTTGCCACATTCTTCACACTTGTAGGGTTTCTCTCCAGTATGAATTCTTTTATGTGTAGTAAGGACAGAGGAGTGCTTAAAGGCCTTCCCACATTCTTCACATTTGTAGGGTTTCTCTCCACTATGAATTATCTTATGTGTAGTAAGGATAGAGGAGCGCTTAAAGGCCTTCCCACATTCTTCACATTTGTAGGGTTTCTCTCCACTATGAATTATCTTATGTGTAGTAAGGTTAGAGGAGCGCTTAAAGGCCTTTCCACATTCTTCACATTTGTAGGGTTTCTCTCCACTATGAATTATCTTATGTGCAGTAAGGTATGAAAACCGGCTAAAGGCTTTGCCACAGTCTTCACATTTGTACCGTCTCTCTCCACTATGAATTATCTTATGTGTAGTAAGGTGTGAGGACCAGTTGAAGGCTTTGCCACATTCTTCACATTTGTAGGGTTTCTCTCCAGTATGAATTTTCTTATGTGTAGTAAGGGTTGAGGACTCGTTAAAAGTTTTGCCACATTCTATACATTTGAAAAGTTTTTTTCCAGTATGTCTAATCTTATGTCTGTTTGAATCTGAAAACTTACGAACGACTTTCACATATTTATCACACTGAAATATTTTCCTTTGGGTAGTTGTCAAATATTGGTTAAGTCCATTATAACCTCTTTTGTGCACCTTACACTCATCCACACCTTCATAGCCTTTTTTAAACTGTAAATTGTCATGTCTACATTTTTCATATCTTCTCAGTATCCCTTTATGGAAATAATCTTTTATGTTCTGCTCTGGCCAAAGATCTTGGGTAAAATGAGAACACAAAACTGAAAGAAACAATAAAAACACATTACTTCAATTGCTAGACTTGGATAAATATAATTTACAAATCTAACCTATAAAGTTATACAAACTACCTAAGCAAGATGACACAGCAAAATATCGCAAGCTGTAATTTCTTCCTGGACACATAAATATAACAAAAACATACTGCCCAAAATATATCTGTAAAAAATTTATAAGTCAGTTAAGTGTATGAAGGGCCCCAGGCGAGCACAATGCAAAGAGTCACACAGAAGATAAAGAAAAGCCTGTTACTTATACCCAACACAGCTCTTCCTGCTCCCCAGTATAACATTATGCCTTTAAAAGTAAATTCCCCGTCAGATGCAGTGGCTCATGCCCGTAATCCCAGCACTTTGGGAGGCTGACACGGGTGGATCATGAGAAATTCGCCCCCATGACCCAAACATGTCCCACCAGGTCCCATATCCAACACTGAGAATTTCTATTGCAGCATGAGGTTTGGATAACATGGACATCCAAACCATATTATAGACCAACTAGGCTTCACAGAAACACACAAAACTCTCCGGTCAAAACCAAGATAATACACAATATTCCTATTTGCATCTGTTGTATTCTGTTAGGACACATACCAAGTTTTGTTAAATTAAAAATACTGACTGTGTGCCATGGCTCTTGGCTATAATCCTAATACTTTGGGAGATTGATTGGGGCCAAAAGTTTGAGACCAGCCTGGGTAACATAGTGAGATCCTAACACTACAAACAAGCAATTAGCCAGACATGGTAGTGCATATCTACAGTCCTAGCTACTCAAAATATTGAGGTGAAGGGGATCACTTGAGCCCCGGAGGCTAAGGCTACAGTAACCCACAATTCTGCCACTGCACTGCAGCCTGGGTGACAGTAAGCTATTGTCACAAAACAACAACAACCAATTATTTTAAAAACACTAAAAGTATACACTGTGTTTTCTAACAAAAACTGAATGAAACTAGGAATTAAAAGCAAAAGTCAAACTGGAAAATTCAAAAATACGTGAAAATGAAACACACTCTACAACATATTCTTGCTCAGGGGGCAAAAAATTTCATTTTTCAAAGATGTCAATACAACCTACAGTTAAAACCTACAGTAACATGGCCAGGCACGGTGACTAATGCCTATAATCCCAGCACTTTGGGAGGGTGGGGTGGTGGATCATGAGGTCAGGAGATTGAAACCATCTGGCTAACACAGTGAAACCCTGTCTCTACTAAAAATACAAAAAATTAGCCCTGTAGTCCCAGCTACTTGGGAGGCTGAGGCAGGAGAATGGCGTGAACCTGGGAGGCGGAGCTTGCAGTGAGCCAAGATTGCGTCACTGCACTCCAGCCTGGGTGACAGAGCGAGACTCTGACTCAAAAAAAAAAAACCTACAGTAACATAAATGATATGACACTGACACAAAGATAAACAGATGAAAGAACAGAATAGAGAGCTCAGAAATGAACCCTTCTGTATACGATCAGATGATCTTCCACAAAGTTGCCATGCATACAAAATACAGAGAAATAATTTCTTTTAAAAATGTTGAAAACTGAATATCAACACTGATAAAATAAAGTTATTTCCTTGAATGATACAATAATATATTTTATTTTATTATTTCTTTTTTGAGACGGAGTCTCGCTCTGTCACTCAGGCTGGAATGCAGTGGGGCAATCTCAGCTCACTGCAAGCTCCGCCTCCTGGGATCACGCCATTCTCCTGTCTCAGCCTCCCGAGTAGCTGGGACTACAGGCGCCCACCACCATGCCCAGTTAATTTTTTGTATTTTTTGTAGAGATGGGGTTTCACCATGTTAGCCAGGATGGTCTCGATCTCCTGACCCCATGACCCCCTGCCTCAGCCTCCCAAAGTGCTGAGATTATAGGCATGAGCCACCGCACCCAGCCAATTACATATTTTAAATAAAATGCTTAAACATAAAAATACACAAATGGGAAAAAGCATTTGAAAGAACATACAAAATTACTAATTTGTAGAAAAATTAAAAAAAAAACACAATGACAAAATCAACTTACACCCATTAGGTGCAATGAAAATAAAACCGATGTTGATTGCTGGTGAAAAACAAACACACAGCCATTATTTTAAAATGTAATAAATGTTCCTCATATATAAATCTATATCCAAAATATGTAACACAGGCCATATGCAATGTCTCAAGCCTGTAATCCTAGCAGTTTGGGAGGCTGAGGTGGGCAGATAACCTGAAGTCAGGAGTTTGAGACCAGCCTGGCCGACATGGTGAAATACCATTTCTACTAAAAATAAAAGATTAGCTTGGCGATGTGACATGCACCTGTAATCCCAGCTACTTGGGAGGCTGAGGTAGGAGAATCGCTTGAACCCAGAAGGCAGAGGTTGCAGTGAGCCGAGATCACACTACTGTACTTCAGCCTGGGCAACAGAGTGAGACTCCATGTCAAAAAAAGGAAAACAACAAAAAAACAAAATATGCAACACAAGACCTGGAAGATATAATTTGAAAATCCATGTTTATTGTACCAGTATTCACAAAAGCAACCCAGATGTCTCTTGATTTATAAACATATCAAAAAATATAACATATACATATGATGAAGTATTATTCCACCTTAGAAAAAACAATATTCTCAATTTTAAGATGAACTTTGAGAATATTATGTCACCTGAATTAATCCAGTGACAGAATTATGGATACTGTATGATTCTATGTATATGAGATATCTTAAGTAGTCAAAATCATAAAATCAGAAAGTGGAAAGTATGTCTATTAAGGCCTGGAGAGAGGGTAAAATGAATAGTTAGTACTTAATGGTCAATGGCTTTTAGTTTTACAACGTGTAAAGTTTCTAGAAGTCTTTTGCATACAATGTGAATATACTTAACACGCCTGAAATGAACAGCTGTTTTTTTGAGACAGGGTCTCACTCTGTCACCGAAGCTGGAGTGTAGTGGTACAATTTTGACTTCCCCTCAATCTCCCAAGTAGCTGGGACCACAGCTGCACACCACCATAGCTGGCTATTATTAACTTTTTTTTTTTAGAGAGAGGGGTCACCATATGTTGCCCTGGCTGATCTCAAACTGTTGGGCTCCAGGGATCCTCCAGTCTTGGTCTCCCAAAATCCTGGGATTACAAATAAGAGCCTCCACCTAGCCTGGCCCTGAAATGCACACTTCAATAGATTTAAGATGGTAAATTTTATGTTATGTGTTTTTAAGACAATTTTTTTAAAGAAAAACTGAAAAAAAAAACCAGAATTATATATCTTTTTGAAAATTACTTTCAAATCGTAGAAGTGCTTCTCTCACAAAAGCAAATATATAGTCATCATTAAACACATGGTGAAAATAAGACTATCTTGATGACTAGTCACTTAGACAAGATAAAACTACCATCAAAAATCAGCTAAGAAAGAATATAGGATAAGCCATAACTAAAATTGGGGTCATATTTATAGATAAATACACATACATATGTAATCTGATTGTGATAGACATGCATAATTTATATCTTAAATTGACTTAAAATGTACAAAAAGAATTGCAAATTGTCTAAAATTGTAATACATAAATAAACCCAAAACACCCAATAAACTAATGTTAAGAAACCTACACTGAGGCCAGGTGCAGTGGGTCACAACTGTAATTCCCGCACTTTGGGAGACCAAAGCATGCAAATCCCGAGGTCAGCAGTTCCAGACCAGATTGGACAATATGGTGAAATCCCATCTTTGCTAAAAATGCAAAAATTAGCTGAGCGTGGTGGCACATGCCTGTAGTCCCAGCGTCTCAGGAGGTCAAGGCAGAAGAATCACTTGAACCCCAGAGGTGTTCAAAACTTCAAAACAACAATAAGAGAAATGTTTACTCGTAAAATCTTGTATGCAACATTGATGTATAATTTTAAAAAATTGTCAGGCCAGGCGCAGTGGCTCACGACTGTTATCTCAACACTTTGGGAGGCCAAGATGAGCAGATCACCTGAGGTCAGGAGTTCAAGACCAGCCTGGCCAACGTGGTGAAGCCCCATCTCTACTAAAAATACAAAAATTAGCTAGGGATGGTAACACATGTCTGTAATCCCAGCTACCTAGGAGACTGAGGTATGAGAATAGTTTGAACCCAGGAAGTGGAGGTCGCGGTAAGCCAAGATCATACCACTGCACTCCAGCCTGGGTGACAGAGCGTGACTCCATCTCAAAAAAAACAACAAAAAAAATTTCTAGATAATTGCAATATTTAACTATTAGTATGTACTCACTAAATGCAAGTATTCTGAATCATTGGCATGTACTGTGTGGCAGTAAAATTTCAGAGAATATACAGTATAATTATAAATAGAAGATTCTAATGAGAAAATAAATTAGCATTTAAAAGAAACTAGTTACTTTTAATGTTTTCAATATATGGTATTCTTACACAAAATGAAACTGCTGTAATCCAACTTTAGAAACAGAGAGTAGCCTTACATTGTTAAATAAAAAATATATATATTTTCCAGAATAGTGTTAGACCCTCTGATACGTAAAACAAATATTAGGAAATAAACTATTTTATTATGGAGATATAGGCTGAAAAAAGTAGATGAACATCCTATAATTCTTTTTTGCCTGCAGCAAACTTAAATTTATAAATAACTATTTTAGTAACTATGGGTGCCTACTAATTATGCAATTTACTTCAGGCATACCATGCAAATTCTAGCATATTGTCTTAAATACCTGAATCTAAAATTACAAACAAATCTGAAAGAGAAAATAGAAAGTAAAAACATATAGGGAGAGTGACATCAGTGAGATGAAAAGATTAAAAGTGCCGTATTTTCATATTCCATTACGGCAAAACAATGTCAGCCATCTCTGACAAAAATACTTTTATGAGAGAACCAGGATTATGACTCACATCTGTAATGACAGCTCCATGGTACATTAAGGTTGGAGAACTGCTTCAGGCCAGGATTTTGAGACCAGCCTGGGTCTCAAAGACCAGATCAAAGATGTGGCAAGATGCCATCTCCAAAATAAGTGCCTCTAAGGGAGATTTGAGAGCCAGGGAGGGAGTTGTGAAACGCTGTAGTCCCAGCTATTTGGGAGGCTGAGGCAGGAGGAAGGTGTAAACCTGGGAGGCAGAGCTTGTAGTGAGCTGAGATCCGGCCACTGCACTCCAGCCTGGGTGACAGAGCGAGACTCTGTCTCAAAAAAAAAAAAAAAAAAAAAAAAAAAGCTTAAGATTGAAAAGTGTCGTATTCAGAAGGCAGGCTCTCATTCAGGTCAGAAACTACAGGACCCTTGTTCATGGCTACAGACCAGGATAGGGTTCACCCAACTTAGTCCCACTGAGAATCTGAACTTACTCTATAACCACCCCAAACTCCCAGCCACAGTCTGGCAGAGGTCCTTCCATTCCAGAGACCTAGAAGAAGATACCCATTTACAGCAATGTAGGCAGGCCTGCAGACCTTGGCCTTTACTGGGGTTCCTGAAGTGGTTCCTGACTCAGTTTCAGTTACTTGAGCCACAGTTTATGGTCAGTTCTGCCTACATAGAAACCCACACAACTGGGCTAGAAGGGGTGCCTCATGCCTGTAATTCCAGTACTTTCAGAGGCCAAGGCAGGCAGATCATCTGAGGTCAGGAGTTTGAGACTAGCCTTGCCAACATGGTGAAACCTGGTCTCTACCAAAAAAATACAAAAAATTAGCTGGGTGTTGTGGCAAGCACCAGTAATCCCAGCTACGCAGCAGGCTGAGGCAGGAGAACCTCTTGAACCTGGGAGGCAAAGGTTGCAGTGAGCCGAAATCATGCCATTGGACTTTAGCCTGGGCAACAAGAGTGAAACCCAACCCCATCTTGGGGGGGGGAAAAAAAAGAAAAAAAAGAAAAGAAAAGAATCCATTGCAATTGAAGAAAAATAAGTAGAAGTTGCTGTTTGTGGATCATACCTCTTATATTTAAAAAACCATAAACAGTACATTAAAACCTATCTAAACTAACACACTGAGTAAATTAGCAAAATATAAAATTAACACACAAGTGTATGTATGGTTTCATATGCTTAAAACAAACTATCTGATAAAATAGAGGAAGAAAAAATCTTATTTAATATAGCATTAAATAATAAATTTCTGAGAAAAAAATTAACCAAGAAGGTAAGAAAATGTTTACAACAAAAAAAGAAAAAATGAGAAGATCCAAATACATTTTAAAATATTTTATGTCTAGAGATTGAAAGAATAAATCTTATTAAAGTGTCATATTATCCAAAGTGATCTATAGATTTCATAAACTTCCTGTCAAAATTGCAGTGGTTTTTTTTTTACAGTAATGGAAAATACAATTCTAAAATTTACATCAAACTAAAATAAACTCTGAATAGCCAAAACAATCTTGAAAAAAAAGAACAAAGCAGAAGGATATCATCTTATAATTTCAAACTATATTTTAAAACTATGTAGTAATAAAAATAGAAAGGACTAAGCAGGAAAAAAAATATTTTTTTTTCCAACAGAAATGACTACTTTCACACATTTCAGACCTGATGCAAAAAGAGAAATAATTCTCAAAATCATGCAGATATGTATGTGTCCCCAAAACAATGAAAAAGCAGTCGGATTGTGCAGTTTTTTACATGCCATGAAGAGGACTTTGGTTCTCACTGTGAACGTGAAGGGAGCTCACTGAAAGAAAAGTAGAATTTTTACAGAATTTAAAAGCATAAGCAGAAGATGCCCCTTTATAAGAGCAAAATTTTAAAAAAGAATGAAAAAAAAAACAAAAACAAAAACAAAAAGAAAAAAACCCAGCTGACCAGGAACTATTTCCTTTGGAACACAGCTTCCCAAATCACCCTTTAAGGACTGGCCTTCTCTTTGACCTCGGGACCTCTTATCTGTGTCTGTTGTATTCATTTTCACTCACACCTACCTGAGGGGTTGGCTACCATCTCATGTTTCTTCATAGTCAAAGGTTTTTCTGCTTGCTCCAGACAGGTGATGAGGTCTGGCTTAGAGACAACAATACCTGTTTTATTAAAAACAAATAACATGAATCTTGCTCATATTCTCCACTTGCAAGGTAGTAATGTGCTCAGCAAAGACGATATAATAAAATATTCTAGTAAATTAATACCAAAATACAAATGTATAACAGAAATTTCTAAATATTTAGAAAATACTTTCAATTTGCCGGGTGCAGTGGCTCGTGCCTGTAATCCCAGCACTTTGGGAGGCCGAGGCGGGAATCACAAGGTCAGGAGTTCGAGACCAGCCTGGCCAGCATGGTGAAACCCCATCTCTACTAAAACTACAAAAATTAGCTGAGCATGGTGATGTGCATCTGTAGTCCCAGATACTCGGGAGGCTGAGGCAGAACTGCTTGAACTTGGGAGGTGGATGTTGCAGTAACCCGAGATCACACCACTGCACTTCAGCCTGGGTGACAGAGCAAGACTCTGTCTCAAAAAAAAAACAAAACAAAAAACAAAAAGAAAGAAAGAAAATAACTTTCAATTTATAGGTTTCTTAATTGTCCTGCCTGGCACTACTGAATCAAAAATTGGTGGTGGTAATTAGGTTTTCAGGTGGAAGCTACAATATTTTATGCCACTAAATTTCTGGAATTACCACCAATTTGGAGTGAAGATTACAGCTCACCTCAGAAATATGGAAAGGTTGGATTAAGATGAAACATCTTGAAGAAATTTTTTTTCTTTTTTTTCCTCAAGACGAAATCTTGCTCTGTTGCCCAGGCTGGAGTGCAATGGCATGATTTCAACTCACTGCAACCTCTGCCTTCTGGGTTCAAGCTATTCTCCTGCCTCACCCTCCTGAGTAGCTGGGATGATAGCCGCGTGCCACCATGCCTGGCTAATTTCTTCTACTTTGAGTAGAGATGGGGTTTCACCATGTTGGCCAGGCTGATCTTGAACTCCTGGCCTCAGGTAATCACCTCACCTCAGCCTCCCAAAGTGCTGGGATTACAGGCAAGAGGCACCGAAGAGTTTCTCCTTTCTAAATGACCGAATTCTGAAGATTTTCTTGAAAAAGTGGATCTGAAACTCTTCTATAAAAGAATAAATTACTAAAAAAATTCTACAAAAAAGAGAAATAAAACCTTTTGTGTATATTATGAATAATGTATTAAAGTTTTTCTCACCAAGGAAGACCAGGTTTCTGTAGTTCTCTAACATCACATTCCTATATAAATTCCGCTGTGCAGTGTCCAGGCAATGCCACTCCTCCAGAGAGAATTCTATGGCCACGTCTCTAAATTGCAATGGCCCCTGAAACACACACACATACGTTTTTACCAAGTGGTCATGCGTGGAATTTTTAATTTGACTTAAGGTGAAATGAGAGAGTAAACACAAATGGTTCTGACTTATAGGACTAAAATTATCCAATAAAATAACTTTCAAAACAGAAATATTATCTAATGTATTCTCTGAGAAAAAGAACAGCATGAGATCCACAACATCAGTTCATATATTTTTCTAGATAGTAAAGTGTAAAATTAAGGAACACAAACATGTACATTTTTGAGTGCTATGTTTACACCATACGGAATGAGTTGTGAATATTCAGATGAAAAAGATATGTTGAGTTAGAAGGCACCTTTCAAATTTAAATATATACAATACGTTGAAGACCTTATTGTGCAGGGGTTTTTTTCCCAGAAGATCTGGAATGAAGTCTGATTTTTCGAATTTCTAACAAGCTCACCGATAATGTCAATGTTTTTGGCCCAAGAAGGATATTTTGTCAAACATCCAGTCAGTGGAATAGCCTGTGTTTTTCTCAGTTTTTCTGGCCTGTAAACAAAGATAAGAGCCTGCATTTTCCAAAGAAAAATATATAGACAAAATTAAGAAGAAAGGACAACTGCCAGATTAAATGTGATGGTTTACTCACATGAGCTGCAAAAAGATACTTAATAATGAAGAGAAAAATAATCAGCTATATAGTGAAAACAATCTGTCAGAGCCATTTAAGCAAGTGAATCATTAACCATTAACTGCACTAGGAGAAATTTTTATGATGTGCTAATGCACATAGAAGAACACAGCATCACTGTTGAAATATTCGTCTTTCAAAAAAGTAAATAAAATCTGATTTAATCATAAAGAATCATCAGTTTTACGCAAACCTCAAAAGACAGATAACTCCTATGTTTGGACACATCTATTTATTGTACCAAGCATATGATGCATAATTCAATTATTTATCCAGTTGCTTGTCTAGACTAAAAGTTTCTGGATTGTAGGAACCACGACTGCTTAATAGTTTTTTTTTTAATGGTCCTATAAAATGGGAGCAACTAGTTTATCCATTTGGGTCTCCAGATCTTTTCCTTCTTTATCATCCAAGTACCAGAAAACTGGAGAAACTCTCATCTGGGTACCAACCAACGAGGGGATGAACAAACACAGGATGACTAATTTCTCTTACACTGAGACAGAAGGAGAATTAGCCACTCTTGTCAGCCTAACACAATTCTGCTCTGAACATCCTCAAATGCCTCAAAGACACCTACGTGATTTTGAGGGAATTTCCAGTGACCCTGGGCTGATGGCCCAATGATAAGCCAGGCTGGAGAGACTCAAGCTGAAGACCAATGAAACAGAATAGAGAGCCCAGAAATAATGGCACCCTCCTGCAACCAACAGATTTTTGACAAAGCTGACAAGAGAAATGTGAGAAGAATTATCTCTTTAATAAATGGTGCTGGAATAACTACCTAGCACTATGTAGAAGACAGAAACTAGGTCCCTTCATTACAGCATATACAAAAATCAACTCAAGATAAATTAAACACTTAAATGTAAAATTATAAGAAACACTGCATGACAACCTAGGAAATACCATTCTAGACATAGAAACTGGCAAAGACTTCATGATGAAGCTACCAAAAGCAACTGCCACAAAAGCAAAAATTGACAAATGGGACCTATTTAAACTAAAGAGCTTCTTCACAGCAAATAAACTATCAACAGAGTAAACAGACAATCTACAGAAGAAAGAAAATATTTGCAAACTTTGCCTCTGACAAACGTCTCATATCCAGAATTTATTAGAAACTTAAACAAATTTAAAAGAAAAAAACAAACAACCTCATTAAAAAGTAGGCAAAAAAGATGAACAGATGCTTTTCAAAAGAAGACATACATGTGGCTAAAAAGCATATGAAAAAAATGCTCATCTGTAATGATTAGAGAAATTAAAAGAAAAACCATAATGAGATACCACCTCACACCAGTCAGAATGGCTATTTTTAAAAAGTCAAAAAATAACAGATGCTGGCAAGGTTACAGAGAAAACAGAATGTTTATACTCTGCTGGTGGGAGTGTAAATTAGTTCAACAACTGTAAAAAGCAGTGTGGTGATTCCTCACAGAACTAAAAACAGAATTATCATTTGACCCAGGAATCTCATAATTGGGTATATAGCCAAAGAAATATAAATTATTATATTATAAAGACACATCCACATGCATGTTCAGTGCAGCACTATTCACAATAGCAAAGACATGGACAGGCCCTAAATGCCTATCAGTGGTAGACTGGATAAAGAAAATATGGTATGGTCAGATGCGGTGGCTCATGCCTGTAATCCCAGCACTTTGGGAGGCCGAGGCAGGTGGATTGCCTGAGCTTAGAAGTTTCAGACCAGTCTGAGAAAACAATGCAAAATCCTGTCTCCACGGAAAATACAAAAAGAAAAATTGGCAAGGTGTGGTAATGCCCATGTGTAGCCCCAAGAAGAGGATGAGGCAGGAGAGAATTGCTTGAGCCTGGGAGGTTGAGGCTAAAGTAAGCCAATATCATGCGACGGCACTCTAGCCTGGGCAATAAGGAAGACCATGTCTTCAAAAATAAAATAAATACAAAATATGGTACATAAATATCATGGAATACTTTGTGGCTATTAAAAAACAAAATCATGTTGTTTTCTATAACATCAATGAAGCTGGAGACCATTATTCTTAGAAAACAAATGCAGAGGCTTGGTGCAGTGGCTCAAGCCTGTAATCCCAGCACTTTGGGAGTCAAATGTCGGTTGATCACTTGAGGTCAGCAGTTTGAGACCAGCCTTCCCAACATGGAGAAACCCTGTCTCCATTAAAAATACAGAATTAGCTGGGCGTGGTGGCACGCACCTGTAATCCCAGCCACTCAGGAGGCTGAGGCAGGACAATCACGTGAAACTGGGAGATATAGGTTGCAGTGAGCCTGGATCACACCACTGCACTCCAGCCTGGGCAACAAGAGTGAAACTCCGTCTCCAACAAAAAAAAAAAAAAAAAAAAAGAAAGAAAGAAAAAGAAAATAATGCAGAAACAGAAAACCAAATGCATGTTATTATTTATAAGTAACAGCTACATAATAAGAACATATGAACACAAAGAGAACAACAGATGCTGTGGCCTAGTTGAGGGTAGAGGGTGGAAGACTAGGAGGATCAGAAAACATACCTGTTTTGTGCCATGCTTAATACCTCAGTGACAAAATAAGCTGTGCACAAAACCCCCATGTACCAAAACAAACCCAAGTATACCCCGAAACAAAAATGAAAACGAAAAGAAAAAATTAAATCCCTGGGTGGGAGAGAGTGCAATGTGGGTGAGAGAACTGATTTTTGCTACAGACAGTAGTCCCAATGCAGCTGTACTCTGATTTATTACTGAGTGCATGCAGACATACGAGACTATGAACTGCTGGTCCAAAATGCTAGGTTGGTGGAGAAAACAGGTTGCTGCCGCAGATTTAGTAGCTGGGGGTGGGGATATGTCAGGAGACTTGTAGAGACTTGTGGGTTCTTGGCAAGAAACACTAGGATCAAAAACGCCATGGTGAAGTTCGTGAGGGTGGTGCCTACGCCTCAGAGGAGTGTGGCCATGTCAATGTCTGTGTGTTTGTGAGTGGGTGGGAATCCTGTGGTGGCAGCTGTGGGAAAAGGGGGTCTGTCATCAGAGCTCCTTTCTTCTAAGTTTTCAGTCCTCTGTCACCCTGGGAGAATACGTGGAATCACAGGACAATGGGCAGTGTGACAGCCTGTGTACTGGACAGCAGAGCTCCCATTCCCAAACACCTAGAGTTTTATTCCAGGCCAGGCCTCTGTGATATCTTTTTTCTGGCACCAAATTTGTAGAGTTTGCTGAACATCAAACAATTCTCCAACACCAACTCATTGTCTAACACTTGAATTCTGACACCACCCAGCGTCAACACAGACCCTGATTCAGGGCTCGGTCCCGCAACACTGTCCTCACTGCAGATGCCAATCACAAACCCCACAGGCTTATCTACGCTTCTGAGCTACTGTTTAAAAACTGGGAAGTCCCATAACCTCCCTGAAGTTCGATAATTTGGTAGAGCTACTCACAGAGCTCAGCAAAACACTGTAGTTAGGTTTACCAGTTTCATATATGAGATGCAGCCCAGGAAAAGCCAAATGGAAGAAAAGCATAGAACAAAGAAAAGAGATGAGGAAAGATGAAACACATAAATAATCCTGGAAAGTATTTGTGATTAATAAAATTCTCCATCCTTTGTGTGCTCCAGGAACAGTTTATGGAAAGAAACACTCTTCCCATTATGACTTAGATGGTGCTCTCTTTTCTTACTTATCACACAGCCAGACACACACTCTGCACATTTTCTCCTTTTTCTCATTAAAAAAAATCAGCTGAATTTGTCTTCCATGCTCAAAATAAAATATTTCTTCACTTTGTCACCCAGACTGAAGTGCAGTTTTGTGATCTCGGCTAACTACAACCTTTACCTCCCAGGTTCAAGCGAATCTCCTGCCTCAGTCTTATGGGAAGCTGGGATTACACGCATGCACCACCATACCTGAATCTTTTATTTTTATTTTTATTTATTTATTTATTTATTGGTCTCGAACTCCCGACCTCAGGTGATCTGCCCGCCTCAGCCTCCCAATAATTTTTGTTATTTTAGTAGAGACAGGATTTCACCATGTTGGCCAGGCTGGTCTCAAACATCTGACCTCAGGCCCACCTGCCTCAGCCTCCCAAAGTGCTGGGATTACAGGCGTGAGCCACCACACTTAGCCTAAAATAAAATAATCCTTAGTCAAACTTTTCTTAAGCTTATCTCCCTCCTTCGGGCTCCTGAACTTTGTGCTACCCTCAGTCTGAGTCAACATACAACCCCATTTTACGTCCCTCCTAAGAATACGCTGATTTCAGGGTAAGACATTCTCTGATCTAAAATCCGACTTTTTCACTCTCCATTTGCCATTCCCCTCCCACCTCCTTTCTAATCTTGTTTGCTCTTCCCTAAAAAAGAAAGCCCTTTTCTGCCGACATCTTTGCAAGCCATAAAGATCTTATACTTACTTGGTACTTTCTGCTGTTGCAATAATTTTTTGGAATTCATTTTTTTTTTTTACATAAATCTAATGTTTTTTATTTTACGAAGTGCAGAAAGTGCCGCAAAACATAAAAACTTCATCATCAGTAAGACCCTCTCAGTTTCCTTTCATCTTAATCTCAACTGCAACTGCCTGTGGATCCCGAGCTTTCTAGGGCTCTGTAGCTTCTCTCAGGATAAAGGCTCCTTACATGGCTGGGATGAGCAGGCTGGGAAATCTGCAGGGGAGGCTCCTCAGAAAAAAACTAACTGAGTCTTTAATAACATCCTGTTGCAGGCTTAGTACTAGCCTTAGCTTGGAGTTCTTAGGTTCAAGCTTTAATTTCCATATCAGTTATTCACTTGGTTTTTGAAACTAAGTGTTTGAAAAATCCAGGGAAATTACTCAAACACAGTTTACATAAGAGAAGGAAATTTTAAGGTGCTTACTTTTTTTTTTAAAGACAGAGTCTTCCTCTGCCGCCAGGCTGGAGTGCAGTGGCAGGATCTCAGCTCACTGCAACCTCCACCTTCTGGGTTCAAGCGATTCTCTCACTCCTGCCTCTCGAGAAGCTGGGATTATAGACATTTGTCATCACACCCAGCTAATTTTTGCATTTTTAGTAGACATGGGGTTTCCCCATTTGGGCCAGGCTGATCTTCAAGTCCTGACCTCAAGTGATCCGCCTGCCTCGGCCTCCCAAAGGGCTGGGATTACAGGCGTGAACGATCGCACCCGGCCCCATAAATTTTTAATAGCAGAAAACAGAGACTGTGAACCCCACGGACCAAAGCTCTTCCCTTTCCAGCTCTTCCCTGACCCGCACCCCGAGTCAGGATTCTCCCTTGACGACCCTCCGGTGGTCCCTGCACATTCTGGGAGAGATGGGGCGCTGCGGGTGCAGAGCTGCCCACAGAGCGCTCCAGGCCAGAGCACGGTCACTGCGCAGGGAAGAGACAGGACGCCCGGGGGCCCGGCTGTCAGCGTAGCCGCCATCTTATGGCTGAACGGGACTGAGGCCGAGCTGGGCAAGGAGAACTTGGGGCGCAGATTGTGGAGCTGACTGCCCGGAGGCCCGAGTCCCGCCACAGCTACTTCCCATTGGTTCCAACCAGCGGGTCCCCCTCTCTGGGGACGTCGGACCGGCACTCTCACCATTTCTAAGCTTCCAGGGGGTCCCGGCGTCTTAGCTGTGAATCTCCCAATACCTGCAGGACACAGGGCCACAGAGGCTGGGCCTCTAGGAGCAGAAGACACACAGCAGTGAAGAAGACACCCGGAGTTCCGGCTGCAGCGAGAGACAAAGGCCCCGCCAAACCCGGAAGCCTTACGGTTCACTCTGGCTGCGTGCCTGATTGGACGGTTTCCAGCCCAGCGTCCCTGATTGGATAATGCTTAAGGCCTCGCCCCCTCAGGCCCTGAGTGACATAAGGTGTGATCAGACGCTGGGCTGAGTGAACAAAGAGCGA